GACAGGCGCCTGCAGGTCGGCTGACAAATGCCAGGGACTGGAGGACGCCAGCCAGGGACTGGGGGACGGCTGATCCCCACCTGGCTCATCTAGTTCCACTTCCCCAGGAGATTGGAAAACACAAAGGACGCCAGTTCTAAGAAGAGCTAAGCTCCTCCCGACAGATCTGAATGCCTTTGGCCAGTTTACGGCCCCCCCCCCCCCAGCTCTGGCAGTGGGGGTGGGAGGGGGCTTTGGGGGGGCTGTTGAGGGAGGGTAGGGTGTTTCCCATCCATCCCTTCCCCTCTGGAGGTGGGGTCCCCAGGATATGACTGCGCCCCAGAGCCTGTCTCTGTCCCCGTAGTTTGCAGGAAACCTCTGTATCTGTGTCCTGGGTCCTAACCTAACAAAGTGTCCTAGACAGAGCGGCTTACACAGCAAAATGTCCCACAGTCCTGGCGGCTAGGGTAGGGTATTTCCCATCCATCCCTTCCCCTCTGGAGGTGGGGTCCCCAGGATATGACTGCGCCCCAGAGCCTGTCTCTGTCCCCGTAGTTTGCAGGAAACCTCTGTATCAGTGTCCTGGGTCCTTACCTAAATAAGTGCCCCAGACAGAGCGGCTTACACAGCAAAAATGTCCCAACACAGTGAACCAACACAGTCCTCGCCCTCATGGGCTCTTAGCGGTGACATGTCCTAATACAATTTATTCTTGTATTATTATTTATTAACTAGAGGCCCAGCGCACGAAATTCGTATGCGGGTACGGACCCTAGGCCTGGCCGCCAGTCGGCCCAGGCACCTCTGGGGGAGGCTGTCGGTGCCCCTCCACGTGGGGATTCTGCTCAGGGTGGTCTTCAGGCCCCTTCCATCCAGGTGACCAGCCCTGCTTCCCCTCGGCCTGAGTCGTGGGTTTGGAGAGAAGGGGCCTCATCAGTCACCGGATTTAGCCGTCCCCCACCCCCAGCGCCTTTCTCTGCATCCCCTGCGCATGGCCCTGTGGCTTCTGCGCCTTCTCCTTCCGCGCCCAGCTCTGGCGCCAGCTTCACAACCTCAGGGTTAAAATGCGGGTCGCCGGTGGGCGCGGAGGCAGGACCGTTCGCTGGCCGCTCTGAACTTCCCGGAGGCCTCGGAGCATCAGGGCAGCCTCCCGCCATGGGTTTCTAGGTCAAAACCAACTAATGCCCTTGGTCCTTTCCCACGTGCTGGTCCGAAGCTATGTCTCCCTTGCTCTGGTGTTTATTGTTTGGTGGATGACTCCCTTTCTGTGGAGCCCTGGTCGGCAAACTGCGGCTCTCGAGCCACATGCGGCTCTTTGGCCCCTTGAGTGTGGGTCTTCCACAAACTATTGCCACACTCAAGGGGCCAAAGAGCTGCATGTGGCTCGTGAGCTGCAGTTTTCCGAGCTGCAAGTTTGCCGACCACTGCAAGGAATAAAGAACTGTTAGGTGGTACATGTCAGAAATCGCAAGTGCACGTTGCCCGAAAGCAGGAATGTGTCACACACATCTCTGTGGAGTGCCTTCCGGTTCACGTGACCTCCGGGCGGATGGGGCCTCTTCAGCTCCCTGTCCCCAGCTTCTCTGTCCATACGTGTGTCCTGCAGCCGGCTACTGAGACCTGGTGGTTACATTTGAGGGCATTTTGTGAGCTGATGGTTACATACAGCCATTATTGAAAATTAGATCATGCAAACCTAAAATTAAGTGATTATTCAAAAGTAAAATTAATTAAGGTATTAAAAACAGAAGTCATAAAAATAATTCAACATTGATTATGTCCTAATTATTTCACTGCATTTCACTCTGGTCTGTGCACTTGAGGTTGTTGGCATTGTTGTATCTGTGCGATGGACATCCCAGTTGATGGTGTGCTGGCTTGAACTTGGCCCTGCTGGGAATATTTACACCTTGGGAATTGGCAAACACTGCAAGTCGGGGCTTGATTTATCGTTTTGTTGGTTGTGTAGGGCAGAGGTCAGCAGACTGGGCCTGTAAAGGACCAGGTAGTAAGTGCTTTCAGCTTCACGGGCCATGTGATCTCAGTTGCAGCTGCCCAGCAATGCTGTTGCTGTAGGTAATATGCAAACATATGAGTGCGGCTACGTTACAATAAAACTTTATTTAAAAAAAAAGCAACAGACCTTGGGCCGGATTCGGTCTGAGGGCCATAGTTTGCTGGACCCCTGATCTGGATGAAAGAAAGTGGTGGAGAATCCGTTAATCAGTAAAGATTAAGCTTAAAAGTGTTCCTTGTCTCTGAACTTAAGCAGAGATGGCAGCCAGGGGGGGCGGGGGCGGGGGGCGGGCAGGAAGCCGGGCGTTTCAGGGGGAGAGGATGAGAAGTGTCACGAGCAAGAAGGAAGGAGAAATGCTCCGCCAGTGCTGGAAACTGTGTGTGTTCCCACCGAGAACTTGCTCACGTCGCTGTCCGAGCAGTCACGTTCCGGCATCCGTCTTCCCTTATGTCTTCCTGCTTTCACTTTCCTCTCAGCCAGGACAACATCAACCAGCCTCACATCCCAGAGCCACTTTCTTTGCTAATTGCAGCCGGGGAGTGAGTGGCTGCGGACACCAGCGTTGGGTGAAAATCAACAAAAGCGCTCTGTGAGGTTCAGTTGGCCACGCACGGAATTTACCACGAGGGGTTTTGTGTATTATTCCTTATAAATCGTGCTTCCCATCTTTTATACCAGCACATGGTATAATAACTTTATATGTGCACGTTTGCACACATGCACACACATGCATTTTCCCGGAGAGCTTGACGCTGACCCTGGTGGAGCCTGCTCTGTCTCGGATTAGGAGACGGTCCCTCCCACTCCATTCCCACGGCTCCCTGGTCTTGCCTGTTCTTACCACCTGCCCCTGAAATACCTCCCCCAACAGCTTCTGACCCCAGCGGAGCTGCCATCGGTGCTTAAGTTCAAACAGCACCTGATTGATCAACCCTCCTTAACCCTTTCAAAGCCTTCCCTCTGCCCCTTTGGTCTTCTCTCCGGCGATTCCCATCACATACTCGGCTCCGGCGCGCCCCAGTAACCTAGACGAAACGCACCCCTGTGGTGCTCTAGTAGGACACACCTACAGCCTCGGAATGTGGTCTGTCACCGTGTGGTCCCCAAGCCTCCGGTAAGGACCCGCAGGACCCGGAGCAGGGGGAAAGGATCCCCACGCTGCCTGTGGGGGAGCACCTCGGCCTGTCCCTCCTCGGCTCCTCCTTCCAGCCGGACTGGGGATCCTCCGCTCCAGCCCAGCCTCCTTCCTGGTGACCGTCCTACACATGGTGCTTTTCCCTTCCCAGAATTCCTTGGAGGAGCCCTGTAACCCATAACGTGATGAGAAACCACACATATAACTACAGGATTGTGGTTTTAGCAACTTTAAAAGCCTTTTACTTCCTTTTCAATACTGTGCGTGCCGTGAACATTTAAGCAGTGGATTGGGGAAAGCTCTTGGTCACTTGGCTCAAAGTTCATTCATTTATTCCTTCATTCATTCAGCAGGCCATTCTTTTGCCCCTATCCAGTGACACAATAGTGAACCAACACAGCCCTTGCCCTTATGGGCTCTTAGCGGTGACATGTCCTAAAATCCCAGGGTGGCATGAGTTTTTAAAAGGTAACCCTTTGCCCTAGCCGGTTTGGCTCAGTGGATAGAGCATTGGCCTGCGGACTGAAAGGTCCCAGGTTCGATTCCAGTCAAGGGCATGTACCTTGGTTGTGGGCACATCCCCAGTTTGGGGTGTGCAGGAGGCAGCTGATCGATATTTCTCTCTCATTGATGTTTCTAACTCTCTATCCCCCTCCCTTCCTCTCTGTAAAAAATCAATAAAATATGTATTTTTTTTTTAAAAAAAGGTAACCCTTTATTACGACAAAACAGTTTGACATTAATATATTGGGTGGAGGGCAAAAGTGGGTTTACAGTTGTGAGTATGCGAAACAATTTATTCTTGTATTATTATTTATTAACTAGAGGCCCGGCGCACGAAATTCGTGTGCGGGTACGGACCCTAGGCCTGGCCTGCGATCAGGACCATTTCCCTGGCTGCCCACTCGTCGGTCCCGCCCCCGCCGCAGGTCCCCCTCTGTGTGTGGGGCGACCAGCAGGGCAGGGGCCTTCGCCCGCGTCCTCCGCCACCCAACCCCGGTTCCCTGTTCTCCATCAGGCGATTGGAGCCTGCCGACCGGGAAAGGGACTGAGAGGTGGTCAGTGCGCCTCATAGTGACTGGTCCAGCAGTCGTTCTGGTCGTTTTTGCTGTTAGGGTCAATTTGCATATTACCCTTTTATTATATAGGATAGAGGCCCGGTGCACGGGTGGGGGCCAGCCAGCCTGCCCTGATGGGGGCCGCG